ACAAATAAAATTTAAATTATGAATCGTTTTCGATATTCTCGAGAATAACATTTCCCACAATCTCTCTAAAAAATACCGGTATAAACCGTATATTCACTCTTTTCTTCTACTCATACCTTGTTTATTCATTTTGTAAAAAAAAATGATTGTACAGGTGACTGTTCAGTTTGATAAAGCTCAAGCTAATTGTGGAATTGATGTATCACAACCTGTCGCTACTGTAATCAAGGCGTTATGCCTTGAACATTTCAATATCCAAGAACCTGCCGCACTATATGCATTGAGGTTGCAGGACACAAAGGAACTCATAACTGACGAAGTATGTTTATGGTCTTTTTATTTAATTTTCACTCTCACTTATATAAAGATTATTTTTTTTCTAGAATTTTCGGCGCAAAGTTACCGAGAATGAACGTTTAAAATTAGTTTCTTCACCAGTTATTGAAGCAGCTGAAATTTGTGAGAAAATAGGATCGAATGATGATAAACTTTTGAAACAGACTACATTTGATCTACAAAAACTCATTAGGGTTAGTTATCGAAGTCAAGCTCATTTTTTTTAAGAATCATTTATTAAGGAGATTAACTTGGTTAAAATTAAAATTAGGAAGTGGAGTTTGTTGATGAATTTTTAAAAAGAGGGGGGTTGAAATCCCTAATGGAAACTATAAACACAGCTAGCGGAAATACCTTAGCATATGCCTTAACATCAATGCAAAATCTAATGGAGCATGATCACGGTTGGGAAAATCTTGATTCTTTTTTCATTAATAAGGTTAAATCTAAAGCAATCCATAATTTATATATTAAAATATTTTATATTGAGAATTTATTTCTTTAACAACAACAAACAACAAAAATAATAACAATAATAATAATAATAATAATGATAATAATAATGGTCAAAGGTCATTAAAATTCTCGTCAGACAAACACTTGTAAACATTTGTCGTCCTGCGACAGCCATCATTATAAAATTGGTTACCGCCGATAAAAACTCAACCACCTCACCAATTCGATGCTATGGTTTTGATGTATTGCACGAGGCAATGTTACTTCAACCGAATTTTATGGCGACTTTGGTACAACGATTGGCTTCGGCGGATTATGTTCTGTGTTTGAACAGCTTGTGTTTAATCAATGCCCTCATGCGCCATGTAACAGATCAATATTGGGAATCTTTTATGGACATGCTGGATAAATTGTCTGTTAGAAAAGCTGTTGCGGTATGTTTTTATATATCTATATATTTGGATATCGCATGCATGCATATATATACATTAAAAAATTCATTTTTTTTGTTATAGCTTCTTATGAATGGACATCCTGGCGAAGAATTATCTAAGCATCTTTTAGAATTTCAATCACTCTTTGTTCGACAAGCTTATCGATGGAAACGTACTCAAGTATCACTTCATATTCCTTCGCATAAAGCGATTTTGGAAGAACTTTGGACATCAGCAAATCTATCAGATGAAGGCTCAAAATGGAGAAAAATTGGATTTGCTGTATGTTTTATTTCAAAAATGATTTATAGTCTATGAATTTTGACTCTTCATTAATTAGTTCAATATTCTTAATTTTTAGACCGAGGCCCCAAAATGGGAAATCCAACGAGTTGGATATTTGGGTTTGGATAATATGCACAGCTTTATGAAACGTGATACCGAGTATTATCAAAAGGTCTACTATGTGATATTCAATTTTTTACTTTCAGTTTAAAATGAATTACGTTGTTAATTTCTTATCAAATAAATATTAGACTTTATTAGAACAAATTAATCGCCCAGTCGAGCGTCGCTGTCCTTTTGCAAAAACGTCGATTGAAGTAACAGAATTATTGTGTGACTATTGGGATGTAAGCACCGGATGTGAGTAAATCATTGTTTATTAAAAATTTGTAATTGCACTAATAATCTACCACGCTAATTCTCTACGCTATTTTCTTTTCTCAAGATACTACATCAACTTCATTTCAACCACTTCTTTTATCTTTTGAAAAAATCCACTATATTACTGTAAAATCATTTTTCCGCATGTGGCACGAAATGGAAGCTACTGTCGAAGATTTTCCTAAAGTTTCCGCGCTAGTACGCAGCCAATTAAAATTTGCGTTACGTGATGAAGCTACCAAACAATTGTACGAATTCGAGAAAGATATGCTAGAAGTCGAGTATAAAGTTATTAGAGATAGACAATTAAAAGAATTGGAATTAGGTGACGATTTATTGAGCAAAACTCCTGTTAGGTGTGGTATTTATTTTATTGTTTTGAATTTATTATGAGAATCGCAACAACAATGTAATTGTATATTTTATAATTCCCAAAGAAATTTACGGGGAAGATTGTACGCGGAATCATATGAATTCGTGAAATCACAAAGAATTAGGTGCCTTCTATTGGGTGCCTGGTTTCAAATATTGACGCCTACTACAGTGCCATCCGGAAATCAGAATCATGGGCGTCGTTCTTACTCAAATAAGAAGTGGCGATTCTATCGGTTGAGTCCAAATATCAAGTTTCTTCATTATGGCGATTTTATGGACAAGTGTGAAGTAAGAGATGGACTGGAAGATTTGCCCGAACGAAGTGAGTTTTTTTCTTTGATACAAATATTTTTTCATTTTCAAGTAAGAATATTAATTTGTTTTTTTGGTAATATATATTTAGTTGACCTTACTTTGGTCACCGACGTAATAACGGGGTATTCCAATCAACTATCTTCCGTATCTGGATCTCCACCTCGCACTAAATCCCTCCACTCAACAAACGATCTGACATTTTCGCTAATGTCAGGACCAGACACTTCTCTCGCCGATTTTGCTGCACTGAATCACATTCAATATTCCGAATGGACGGACGGTTTCAACATGCTATTCGATAAAAATATTGGCAGTAGGGATACCGCCGAGTTTATTCATGTCTTAACGGAAATTGGGGTCAGAGTTAAATTACTCGATTTAAGTGGTGAGCGTGTGGAAATCCCGCAGACTGTTGAAGTACCAAGCGAGCTACCGGTTGTAGGGCCAAATGGACGTGGATTTTTTTATGACGATCCATTTGCGTAAAAATTGGCTGAATGATTTTTTATTGTTATTAATGATATTTTGTTTTCTATAATTCTAAATTATTTTTCTTGTTACCATTAATCTAGTCTAGATATCATTATTGTTATTGTTGTCATTGATGTATCACTAAAAGATGTATTACGTATGTATGAATACATGAATGATGATGGTGGTAAATTATTATATACTGTTACTATTCGTAATGTAGTTAATAGTTTTTTAATCTGAAGTTTACGAAGTCTACGAATTTCTTTACGAGACATTGACATACATGTAGATCCTGTTATTTTGATCATTTCAAATTCTTATTGGCCAGATTAAAGCAGGGTATTTTTCACAAATAGGCATATAATTAATAAATATTAATATCTTCTTGGACTACTGGATCTATTACGTCGACGGACTCTACTTCTTATGTTCCTATCTCGATCCCTTTCCGAAGCTAAGACTGGTGTCGGTGGTCGTATGAAAGCGAAATCGCAATGCAGAACTTGACCATAAAGTTTTTGACCATTAACTGCTTCAATTGCATTTTTTGCTTCTTTGTATGTCTCGTATTCGACAAGAGCATAACCCTTTAGGACGTACATTTCGATAACCAGGTAAAATCGTGGTGAATAAATATATAGGCAAGAAGCGATCGATAAATTAATTGAATGAATATTTATTTACCTTTACGAAACCCGTCCGACGATCCAGATTTAGATGTATATTTTTTATCTCGCCAAAGTCAGCGAATTTATCAGTAATTTCTTCTTCTGTCGACTCTTCGTGAAGTCCACTTACTAGAACGATCCAACCTTCGACAGCTTTTCAGGTAAATAAACAAATACATATAAGAATATTTAAAAATAGTTCTGAAAATGATATTGCCAAAATCGATCCATTTATTCAAAAATACGGTACATCTTTGAGCACGTCCAGCCGCTGCATCCTCCTCAGTTGTTGATTCAAATTGATCATATTTATCGGTAGAACGAACTCCATCACCCCGAGCGTCTATAATTTATAGTTTTTTTTAACTAAGTAATGAATGTTTCACAAATTATATCTTTATTATGAATCGATCGAATGCCCAATGTACCTCTAGTTTCACTTTTAAAACCACGTCCTTTTCGCTTTACGGCAGGTTTACTTTCCGCTAAAAATAATTGATCATGTTAATAGATCTTTCTAAATGGCCAAAAAAATCAAAGAACTCCAAAAACCTTCATCTTCATCAACTATCATATCCTCAGGTTCGTCAGCCGCGATATCAATTTCATAACCGAGTGCGGTCATTTTTTTTCTTTATACGAGTTCAATGAAATTTTAGGTTATCTCTAATATCTTGCAGTTACAAATTTTCATTTGTGCTACACACGATCAACAAATATCCTATGAGATAATGTGTAATACAGTCGTAATACAGTCGTAACACACTCGTAACACACTCGTAATAATTAGCACGAGGGAAATTTGTATTGTCCGGGTTTTTGACTCCCACTGATATACAGATATACTAGATATACTGATGGCTGCTGACCACTGCTGACCACTCGGGATGTATGCGTGACATCCTGTATCAAAGTTTCTATCTTCATATAGAATAGCCTGTTATATTTCATACATATATATATATATATATATATAGAACCTTTTATACTCCTTAGGGATTGTTATGGCTACCTACAAACAAAAACCAATTAGAATTCAAAGGAAACCCGCGTCTAGTGACTCTGAAGAAAATTCTGCATCAGAGAAAGAATGGTTTGTTTTTGGTAACAGGACAGCGAAAAAAGAACCGCGTTCTGTTGAACTGTCTCGTAATATTACCACAACAACTGCCAGTGAAGATGATGAATGGCACATGTTAAGCGATGCAACAAGCCTTGTTGACGAAAACTCTTCAGTTCTTGAGGGAATATCTGATGTTTCAAGTGGTGGCAGTGGGTTTAATTCCGAGGTAGAGGTGGTCGTGGACGAGAGTCAAGATAATGCTCTAGGGTTTTCGACTCCGAAACCCTATTCGCGTCTTATGCCTGCACATGACGGGACGGGTGATTTTTCTAATCCAACATCATCTGAAGTATCGATTTCTCATCCCGATTCGAGCATACCTATAAATTCACAACATGATAAAATTGACTCAACACGTCATGAATCAGTAGATACCGACGAGCAATCAAGAAGTGATAATAAGAATAGAAGGTCGGGAATTTTCAAAAATGAATTAACTGCACTCACTTTGCGCGTGTTGGAAGATCCAAATCTGGCGTGTCAGGATCGAACTTCGGAAAACGAATCAAATTCATCATCATCATCAGCAGCAGCAGCATCATCATCATCATCATCATCATCATCATCATCATCATCAGCCAAATCTACTATAATTACCACAGCTAATAACAACTCTTCGACTAATCGAGAGATTTCCTTGAATCATTCAAATCCACCTCAACCTTCTTTTTTTGCCCCGTTATTCAATCTTTCTGTTTCTGTCCCTTCATTGTCAAGGCGGAATCAAAAACGTCATGACACTCGATATTCAGAACAAAATATATCTCGACTGGCAAACAACATTATAAATTCAAGGGATGCCTTGTCAATAAATTTTTTGCCGACACTTAACAAAGAAACACTTGACGAAATTTTCGCCAATAAAGATAATAACAATATTACCAATGATAGTGAACGATCAAATTCAACTAATAATCTTACCAGGTATTTATATGTTTTATTAGCAACACACATTTCATTATAAATGAATTACAAATAACCTTGTTCTGATTCGAAAATCTAGCTCAAATGAAACAGCACAACAATCAGCCTCGCGACCAACACGAAATTCAAGTGAAGTTTCATCAATTCTTTCCACAGTTTGGATGTCATTCCGTCGATTCACTTCAAACATAATCAACGCGGATGTAGAATTATACAATGATATTTCGCTGGCTACAGCAATGTCACTTGAATCTTCAAATAGTAATAGTTTTGGTGGTGGCTTGGCATCGATAATTGCGGAAATGGGGGATAATAATCGATATACTTATGACGCTTGTTATCTTCCATTTGGAAACCATCTGACGTTTACGGATTTGCCATTGGGCGATAGAGAAAATATTTTCTCTTATAAACATCAAATATCATCGACCGCCTCTTCATCATACAATATCAAATCAGAAAGTAATTTAAATAAAACTCGAACATCTCGATCGAGTTTGAATTTGAGAGGCTTTTTCAATCGACGTAATAGTTCTGGTAGTAACACCGATTGTGGATTAGAAAATGCTAGGACAGTAACAAAGACTATTGAACATCCTGTATATGAACAAGAGTGTATATGAAAATGTATATTTATCATATTTACGACAATTAATAATTTTTGAGTTTTGTCGAATTGTTTAAGTAAGTTAGAGATAGTTTAATAATCAAAATCAAGATATTATATTTTTGGGATTCTTTGCAAATGTATATAATATTTGTCTATATTCCTTTGAAACAGTGATGCTCTAATAATTCCAATAGACCTTCCAATTCATATGTGAAATGTTCGTTGGAAGCCCAAAAATTTGATTGGGAAGCTTCCAAGAACGTCACTACTTTGAAACAGCGCCGAATATGCAATCGATCGAGATTTAAAAATGCGAACCAATTAAATACACGTGGATCAATGATAGTTCGAACGCGAACGCGTCAAAGACTCGTGACGTCATCACAAAAATTTTTCTATATTAAAGAACTTTAAGAACGCGTTTCTCATTCTTGGAAAGATTTGGAAGATCCTTCAATTTCCATCCTGGTTTCTTTCAAACTTCCTCTCTTGGTCTTCTCTAAACAACAGAAACGCCTCCGGTTTCAAATAAAAAGAGCGACTGTACAAACAAACCACATAAGACTCGAGAGGAGTCTTTAATATATATACATAATTTAACACTTTCACATTCCTTAACCGGTCTGTATCCACGAAAGTTACCATTCAACTAACCAATTCAAAGTTAAAAGGTAAATTTTATTTCGACATTTTATTGTACACGTTTTGCAATCTGTTTCTTATATCACGTATAATAAATATTAATAATTATTATTTTTTTAAAAGAGAGGAAAATTCGCTCATTATCTCAATGTCTCTTAAGGAAGAAACTCTTAAAAAATATTCTCAGGATAGCAAAACCACTGTAAATGTTACTCCCAGCTCCCACATGACTTCAGAATCAAAGGAAAACGTTAAAAAGACTGCAAAACCTTCCGTCGAGGAAGTATGTGAAAGACTAGTCGAAGGTATATTGATTAAAAGTTATTTGGTAAATAAAGAATATCCGGAATCCGAATTACTAAAAATTGTCAAATTTTTAAATCGTAAAAATCATTATATAGTTGCACTTGCCGGCAATGCTAATGCGAAAAAGGATAAAGACAATGCGCACAAAAAAAACAGCAACAGCAAAAGGGACGGTGGTGATATTATAATTTCCGATAAACCTACATTTTCGGCTAATCGTGCCCAAACCGCGAATATCTTTCATCTAGTACCGCCTAGACGCGCCAATATTGATTGCAATAACAATGTAGTAAATACACGATATGGCGGTGATACTACTATTAATATTCGTTCTGAATTTGAGCATTTGAATACACCATCATCAACTATTACGGCAACAAGTTCCAATCCTCTATTTGGATCCGCAATTTCTTATAACGACCATCTTTATGGTAACCAGAATGCGAAAGTGGAGATTGAAAATTATGGCATCACAAAATCTAAGGTTTTTTATTCAACACCATTCAATCACTAATTGATCATTGCTTAATCATAGTCGGCTTCAGTATAGATAATTCATATTATCAAAAAACATAGATCAACGAAAGACAAGTCTTTCACGACAATAATATCGCCACGAGCTCTTCGATCGTTAATCCTTATGATCGTTATTTCTCATTTCGGTCAATCGAATTAAATCAAATGTCATCGAATTTGGTGCATTCTACACCTATTAATCCTTCTACATATCACGTTCCAACTCAACCACAACCTATCATCAAAAAATCGATCTCAATCTGCTCCTTATGCGATAACGGAAACGTGCTCTTGATTCCCTGTGGACATAGGTAGTCAATGAATTGATGAATAGGACCTTATGATTTTAGATTAAATTGATTGAAGATGACGTTTATTTTTTTATCTAATTATTAATGGAAAAGGATGTGCGAATCTTGTGTTCACATATTGCGTTCGAACACTGTCAAAAGTTCTTCAAAGACTCATTCCGAATGTCCGATTTGTGAAACGGTAAGCATGATAATTTGCAAAGAATTTGCATTTTAATCAATGACTAAATATTTTATCTATATTACAATAATGCAGACGATCACGGAATTTAAAAGATTATCTCAAAACGAACCGAGAACAAACAAGATTGATCGAACGCCATCTAAATCAGAAGAATTGCAAGACGTATACAAACAACAGCAACAACAATCAAATCAAGATACTTCGCGACGGACAATACAACAAGAAGAAATGAATTCTTCCAATCGTCAGGAATTCAATAATAATTCTTATCCAACGCCACCGAATTCAGATGAAAAAAATCAAACTGTATTAAACCGCATTGATGAAGATACAACGCGCCCGATTTCTTGGGCTTTTCCTGGCTATACACCACCACTTATTCCTCGCCCTAATCAAACCTTAGCTAATAATAGGCCGCAACAAATCGCATTCCTGGAATTAAGCAAATCCGCAACACCTTTCAATTGGCCAGTTGTGAAAATTAACAATGTGCTCATTTTTCTATGATCTACGTCCAATTAATGTGAGAATATAATCAATAATACTAAAGATTAATTCTTGCTCAATAATACAAAGATACCTTGGGATATTTCACTAAAAGATATCAAGAACTTTTTCTCGGCATTCCAATTACCCGATCCTTCGAAATATGCACAATCCATTCACATAATAATGGATCGGTAGGGAATGCTTGAGATGTTTCTTTTGATTCTGATATCATATTCTTCTAAATCTTTTACTAAACATGTGCATACATTTTATGACCGATAGAACTACTGGAAAAACTTTATCTGAGGCCTTTGTCGAATTTGTCGCATCTGCTGATGCTGATCGAGCGGTGGATCTGCGCAATATGAAACCTATGAAAGGACGACTGATTTCGTGCACGCGATCTTCACAAGAAGAATTAATGAAAGCTGTATTCCCGAAATGGAAAGGAAGCTTTTACGGATGTAATGCGGTGGTCACTGACGAGACGAGGGAAAAGGGAGCGAACAAGCCTGTGACAACTATTCCTTTCGTTACGAGAGAAGAGATGAATTCTTTATTAGTGGTTTGTCGAAATTATAAGGTAAATTTTGTATTTGTTTGCGAATTTAAGTCTAAAATGATATTCGAATATTTCTAATTTCAATATATATTTAGCTTCATTTCTCCCGTAAATGCGCAGAGCGTCCATTCGAAAATATTATAAGTATTCTAGTGAAGGTATTTCGAATCACTGCATATGTCAATAAAAAAGTGAATTTTGATCGACTCTTAAAAAATTTATTTTTTTAGTTCCCTTTTCATCAAAGTGATCTTTACACTACTCTACAACGTGACCTTTTATTTGAAATGTTAAAACGTAAGAAATTTTCACTACAATATCTATTATCAGTTTTGTTAGTTTAATTCTTATATTGATGCTTATCCTTTTTGATTAAAGTCGCGATAGAATCGCTCAAAATCCATTTAAACAAAGAGTACCATCGAATCGAAGAAACATTGCTTGAGCGTATGGTAATAAACTTTCTAGTGTGATTTATCATTGACATACCATCATAATAAACTTATTAAAATATATAAAATAAATAGTTACGTGCCGGAATCCTAACACCCGTCTTTACTGAACGTCAAAAATTGATGATTGTTCAAGTTGCCGGATTGGAAATTCCTGCTGACCTTCATGATCGTTTGACTCTTCTCAGGAAGGAAGACGAAAAAGTAGAAGAAAAAGAAGAGCAGATTCCTGACACTACATTCGTATGTCATCAATTAAAATTTGTGCTTGATTTTCCCGAATATAAAATAAAATCAAATTTTTCGTAGGAAAACGTGAATACGTCACCATCGACTTTTACGCGCTCGAGTAATAAGGGTTTTCCATCATCTCCAAAATACAAATCATCTCCACGTGAATACATCCCAAAATATAGTGGTGTGTTTGATCCTTTCCGAGATGATCATGATATTAAAACAATGCTTTATAAAGACAGAGATGCACGTAAGCGTTTCTTTATTTATAAAAATTAAATAAGGTTGAATTGACTTAATATATACATTTTAACATTTTAATATGTAAATAGCACAACCGTCAAAAACTAAACCTGCACCTTCGTTCAATTCTTATTTGCTTCCAAATCCTCCTCAATCACTCTATGGAGCCTTCCAACCATTCTATTCAGGAACTGATTTTATAAATCGTTCTAAACAAATATGGGGTTGGCCGAAACAAGTCAATGTGTTATCTCCATCATCAACGCCGGAAAGGTTAGTGAATAAGTGTTATCCTACAATTTTTTATAATTATACCAAAATTCTTCCCCAATCCCACTAGAACTACCACTTCATCCCTGCAACAATTAAATCGAGATCAAGGCCTTTATTTCGATACTGGAAATAACCCTTTCTTTGTTAAAGATTTCGATGGATATTCACAGGAAAGATAAGATAATTCTAACTGAAGACATGTCGTCTTAATTAGTTATTATCATTATCTGCAGAAATAACTATCCTTTAACTCGTAATATTTACATTCTACCTCTAGATTATTTTTATCTTATAGACGTTATTATTAGATTTCTCTTCAAATTATGTAATTTATATTCTCTACGTGTTTGTACGTACGTAATGTATATATATGAAACATAGGATTGTATCCAAATAATAAAAAACTTTATACGCGGTTCAAAGTAATTGTTTCTTTCAGATTAATATAATTCGTATAAGGATATCGCCTATTTCCGTGAATTTTTTTTTAGTATATATATATATATAATATTTTTTGCTAAAGTTTTTAATATTAAACTATAACAAATAACATATTTTTAATTATACAAATTATTTATTTATTATATATAAAAAAAATGAAAGAATAAAAAATTAAAATTATTACTTTAATTCTAATTATAACTCTAATTGATCCTATTTTTGTATACCTATAATTTTTTGATTATATACTTTTATATATATTTTTTAGATTTGTTTCTTGTTTTTATTTAATTATAACATGATTAATAAGACTAAAATTTTATAATAATATCTTGAGATACTAGATATATAGCATATCGGATATTTGCGTGATTGGCTGTACTATAATTGTGTAACATAATGAATATAGAACTTTTTATACAGTTTAAAGTATTAAAAGAATGCAAAATTTTTGCTAAATTTTCTGTACAAAAAAAAAGGATAAATCAGTTTACACATTCTTAAACACTCACTTAAGCATTTTGATAAAAGTAATTCCACTAATCTCACAAATTTAGAACAAGCAATTTTAAACAATCTTCAAAGGCATGGAAATTCCAAGTACATGACTATAGAAAAGACTCATTGGCCTATGTATTATTTGTGGAGCAGAAGGGTTTGAAGATAAGTTTCAAAGATTTACTGAAGATACTTATCAGAAAGTCCTACAGCATAGAATCTTGAATTCTACATGAATATTAAATATTACTTAATTCTGTAATAGTCATTACATGAGTTATATTGTGAATGATATTAATACTAAGAAAAGTGTCAAGATATCTGAGAGTACCATTTCTTTAAAGAGATGATGAAAAGATGATAATATAGAAGATGAAATGATAGGAGATCAAATTGATTGTAATAATAGTCAATAAGAGTGGAAAATAAAGTCATCAGAGATGAGTGTTAATAGAAGAATCAGTAAGATTAATTTTATTGAATATGTTAGATTGATGACATACATATTTTATGTGAGAGAAAAGAAAGAAAGAAAATCACTGATATATGATTAGAAGTTGCTTTAGATGGATTTGAAGTCAGAAGATATTCATCTCAAATCATTTCTCAACCTGCTTGAGAAACTGATTAATCTGAATAATAGAGATCTTGTGAATCATACTATCTTATAATAACAGAAAGATCTCTCATTCTTATATCATTTTCTTGTAGGGATTGGAAATAAATATATTAGTGCATTAAAAAAAGATATTACTATATTTTTGGATCATTCAGGTACCTCTGATCAAGTAATTAATACTTTATCTAACATGCAGTTAAGTTCTATATCAAGAGAGAATCAATATAAGAAAAATATCATATCTTCTATTTATAGAAATAATATTGCAAGAGAGCTTGTAAAGTATTAGGTAAATGTATTAATTCCTAATATCGATAATTATCATAATATTTATAATTTACATATTCTAATAACTACATCAATCAGTACAGTTACTCACATGATTATAGTTCTTGTCATCCTAATATTTATAGTAAGTATGATTCTAAAGAGTATCAGAGATGCAAACATACATAATTCATGACTTATTAACAGTAATATTTTGATTACTCAAATAAAAAATCAGTTTATAGTTCTTCTATCTTAATTATTTAATAATCAGTTTACAAGAAAACCTGCTTATGCTAAAAATGATTTACTTGATAATCTAACAGTTCATTGTTATGATATAGATATCTATAAAAAATGATATAATTAGCAACTTAATAATATATTATTAATCAATTTTCTCAAGCTTAATTTACATTTAACGGAGGTATATATTAAAGTTATGGAGATATTTGCATCTTTTTCAGAATTTTATGAATATTTTCAGCATAATATTATTTCATTAATTACTGATTAGCCAGATCAAATACTTTCTTGAAAAGTAATTATGATATCATCAGAAAATTTTTTGGGGAGATATTCATCGAGAATTATCATTATATCTATAAAAATTAATAAATATCTCTCTGAGATATCAATATTAATCAATGACTCTGATGATCTTTGATAAATATCCATATCAATAATAATTGATCATTGTTAGTACATTATTTATCAATATATAATAATATATTGATCATTATCACAATATATTATTTATTGATAACAAATGATATATGTTAACAGTTAACTTAAATACTTGTTTTAAAATCAGTTTATCACATTAATATCAGTTTAGCTTATATAACCTAAATAAACACACATACACTCACACATTCAATTATTTTCAAGACTTAAAACTTCTAAAACGCTTTTTATTTAATATTAAAAAATATATTTATTTAATAAATATTCA